TTTCGCCCGCACGAAAACGCAACAACGCTGTTTCCTTCCCCTTGATCATAATGTTGCTCGGTTTGGAGGATCGAGTAGCTTCTCCACTAGTGCCCTTAATCATACTACAGCACCCGCTCAACGCTCGCTGGAAGCTACGTACCAATGCTTGCCAACAGCGGCAAATTGGCTGTTTTATGATACTAGTCTGGAGCAGCAACCACTCTCTAAAATAAAACACAAGACCATATACACTTCACACAACATGTAAGTATGGGTTGTATTATCGTTTGACTCCACAACGGAAAAGAAAGACCAAGTTTAGTCGTTTATATTGTAGTGAACGTCTTCAGATTGAAATACCTGTATTACAGTAATACACGCTACCCAACATCACACCGTTTAAAGTCGTTCATGTTTTATTGCTAAATGCATTGGTCTGAGTGAATACTGCGTAGAATCTCGGACTGTTCACGAATACTTCTTACTCAAGGCGGAGTCTACGCGAGGACTTCTTACAGTTGTCACCACCAGTGAACGTGTTCTTGAACCACGATTTCGTGCTCGCCCACCAGCCAGTGCCGCACTCTGACGATCCATTGCCGCTGGAGGCTGGAGCCGGAGTGCTCGCCGGTGCCTCCGTTTCGGAAGGAGTGTCACTGCCCGAGTCGTCTTCACTTGTGTCAGCACTTGTAGCTGGAGCCTTGGTCTTGACCTTCTTATGAGAACTGGAAGACTCCGAGGCGTCACTGAGGCTCGAGGACAAGTCACTGCCGGCCGAGGAAAATAGGCCACTCAAGAAGTCGTCCTCATCACTCGCCGATTCAGCATCGGAGCTCTCCGTCTCCAAGCCGCTGGCGCTCGAAAGCAGCAAGTCACTCAGGTCTCCCAAGTCGCTGCCCGAGTCACTGTCGTCGGTAGAAGCACTGGATGCGGCCTTCTTCTTCGTCTTTGTCGTCTTGGTTGCAGGGACGATAGAGTCGTCACTACCAGAGTCACTTGAACCTGACTCCGAGTCGATAAGCGCCGCCTTCTTCTTCTTGGTCGTCTTCGTCACAGGGATAGCAAAGTCATCACTGCCCGATTCACTGGAGCCCGCCTCGGAGTCGATAAGCGCTTTCTTCTTCTTGGTCGTCTTCGTCGCAGGGATAGCGAAGTCGTCACTGCCCGATTCACTGGAGCCCGCCTCGGAGTCGATAAGCGCCGCCTTCTTCTTCTTGGTCGTCTTCGTCGCAGGGATAGCAAAGTCATCACTGCCCGATTCACTGAAGTCCGCCTCGGAGTCGACAAGCGCGGTCTTCTTCTTCGTTGCCTTCGTTACAGGCACAACCGAGTCATCACTGCCCGATTCACTGGAGCCCGACTCGGAGTCGACAAGCGCCGTCTTCTTCTTGGTCGCCTTCGTAACAGGGACAATCGAGTCGTCACTGCCCGATTCGCTGTCATCCGATAGCAAATCGTCAATGCCGCTACCCAGGACGCCACTGCCACCCAGAGAGCTCAACAAGGCGTCCAGGTCAAGACTGCCCGAGGAGAATAAGTCATCTAGTCCGCTCATGTCGAGCAGGTCACTGCCACTCGACGCATCCGATCCACTGACATCGTCAGTCAACCCCGCCAGCAAGTCGTCTAGTCCACTGGCATCGTCACTCGAGCCAGAGTCAGACGCGACCGTCTGCTTCTTCTTCGACTTGGTAGACGAACTGCCACTGCTACTAGAAGCCTCTTGTGTGTTGCCCTTGTTTTGGTCCGACTTATTGTCAGATTTGGCCATCAAAGCGCATTTGTCACCGTTTCCAAACTTGTTCTTCCACCACGACTTCAGGTGACCAAAGAAGCCGGTGGGGCACTCTGATCCTTCGCTGGTACTGGTGGTAGGTGCAGGGGTGCTGGGCTCCTCGCTCGATCCAGAGTCCGCAGTCTTTTTCTTCTTAATAGCAACAGAACTGCCGCTGTCCGACTCACTGTCGTCTGAGAGCAGGTCGGTCAAGTCATCACCCGACGCGCTGTCACTCGAGAGCAGATCATCCAAGTCACTGCCCGAGTCGCTGTCGCTCAAGCCAGACAGCAACAAGTCAAGGCCGAGGTCACTGCCGCTGAAATCACCAAGGCCACTGCCGCCCAAAGAGCTCAACAAAGCGTCTAGCTCACTACCGCTGAGCTCGCTTCCGTTCATGTCTGTTGAGGCCAACAAGTCCTCCAATCCACTGTCATCGCCCGACTCGGAGTCTTCCGATCCACTGGCCTCATCACTCGATCCGGAGGCGGGCGTGACCGCCGCCTTCTTTTTCGTTGGTAAAACCTTCGTAGCCTTCGTAGGTTTGGTAGATTTCGTGCCAGCCAGAGACGAACTGTCACTTTCGGAAGCATCTTGCTCTAGCTGAGTGACATCGGAGTTCTGTACCTGAGTGACTCCGGATTCGCTGTCCGATCCAGAGTCGGAGACTACATTACTCGTCTTAGTAGCGGCCTTCGTTGCACTGCGCTCCTCGGTGAAATCACCGAAAGACAACAAGTCGCGTGTGGTCTCAGCAGCAACAAGGTCGTTGCTTGCATACAGAGCAACAACAGCTGTCAGCACTGCATAGTTCAAACGCATTTTCCTAATTCCACTCGATCAAGAGTTGTTGATGTGGCAGGTGGAGCGCAGTTTTCGAAGTGACAGTCGTATGGACTCAGTATCTATGCTATGGGTACTTCAGAAGTAAACACAATGTAGGATTTGAGCAGCACCAGGAAACAAATCTTTATCCTAAGCTTACGAGAAATTTTCGATATCCTTGGATAGGCATTAATTGAAAGGGGTTCAACCATTCTGATAAATTAGAAATCAAGCATAATACTTTGACTCAGCTCGAATCCATGGTGGACCTGCAAAGATATTGTGAGCGAAATGCTGCAGAATTACCATGTTGAAGAGTTTTCGCAACTGTTCAGTTCCTACTCCACATAATATAAGTTTTCGAAGGTGACAAATCATTGCCAATGATTGGATCCCACAAAAACCATGTGTTTACCTGTATTTTTTTCAATAAGTACTTCGAAGAAATAGAAGATTTGATATAATACATCATGTATGCAAAATCTTGTATTTCTTCGAAGTTCTTATTGAAAATACAGGCAAACTCATGAATTATACATGCACTGAACATGCCTCTCAGTATTTCTGCCAACGTAATGCTGGCACAATTCTAGTTCAACCCCCAGAATGCGAAATTCGCTTATCTAAC